GCATCTGAAGAAGTGAGGTTCTTACCCACGAAAGCTTATGCTCCCAATACTTCTGTTAGTCTCAAAGGTGCCACAGGACCCTCTGTTGCTCACTTCTTCAGATGCAAGTAATGGAAATTTCCAGAGGCAGGTATAAATCAGTATGAAGATAACGAGGTTCGTTCAATCAGGGAGGGTGAGGTGCTCTGCTAGCAGTTGAGGTATGAACACCAAGGGAGGAGAAACTGCTTCTGTAGTTGGATAGCCATTCACAGTCTTTGTTTAATCCTGATCTGATGGTGTCAAATTTGCAAACGAACTGGAGCTCAGCAGTTTCTCTTTGGAGTCTGGTCCTGAAGTTTTTTTGCTGTAAGATGGCTACCTTTACATCTGCTATTGTGTGGCCAGGTAGGTTGAAGTGGGATTCCCTCTTTTGTGGGATTCAGTTACACAAACCCTGCTCTGTAAACCATGGGGGACAGTGGGAAAGAGGCCTCCAGCAGATGCCAGATGGAGATTTCTTAAAGGTCACTGGCAAACTACCAATGAAGAAACACTTAAAGATATTATTAGGCAACAGACCGGGATCGTGGCCAAATCACCAAGACTCACAGGAAGGCAGATGTCAGTTCGCTGAGATGTTTGTAGTCAACACAGACTCCTAGACTTGAAGGCCAGAAGGGACCCATAAATCTACTTGACATTGGTAAGGCGAGGGATGGTGGCTGATAGGATAGATCAATATTCGTGGGTGACGTCACAACAGTACGTCTGAAATAGCATTATCCGAGTACTTCACGACATGCTTGTCAGGTCAGGACTCAAACTCCCAACCATACTGCGAAGCCCTGACTTGGGCACCTGCTGGATGTGCCAGGGAGCGAACATCAAACATTCCAAGTCATATTTGCGGAAGACAATTTAATTTCTCTCTCACAGACCAAGGCTAAGAGCTTCCCTCCCATTCACACTCCCTATTTACCCTTAATGCACCCTAGGGTAAAAATCCCCCCTTCCCTCCCTGTATCCCCTAACACTCCCCCGCACCTGGGTGAGGAAATAGTCCTCTCACAGCCAACTGAGGTCCCCACAAGATCCTTTTTCCACCCATGAACACACTGAAAAGGGGGGCAGTGGAAACAGCAACCAACCCCCCCCCGCCCGCACAGTCCCTCTGGAGACACCCAGATAAAAGTAAACAACGTTGTTTGACTACTTATTTCTTATACACATACACACACACACACACACACACAC